GGCTGCACCGGCACCTTCCCCATTTACTGGCCGTGGCCGGCGCCGCCGCCACGGTTTACCATAAAGTTTACAACTTCTGTCAAGCTCCGTGGCCGCTGTAACCGTACTAGAATGACGACAGACCGACCCTTTGGTCGTCGGTGTCCCTCTACGATCCGCACACTTATGTCAACTCACACTGCATCCTTACTTACGCGCTTGTATGCATACGAGGAACGACTTTGGATCGACGAAATGAACGATTTGCGATTGAAAACTTCAAATTGCGTGAATCATTGATGAACAATACAATACCTTCGGTTATTCCAGTCGAAAACGTTCGACGAAGAGGAGATTCTGAGCTGAGAAAGGAAATTCAGGATGATTGAAGATGTATTAAATTGTTTGAAGATATATAATTGAAGTTCAAAATGGAAAATTTCTTACAAAGAGAAAGTTCTAATATATTAATGCAATCGTTGATGAATCTTATAAAATTTTTAAAGTGAAATATATATTTATAATAGATAGGATAACAAATATCTAAAGTAATGATTATTATCGAATCTCGAATAGGAATAGTCAATCTTCTTTGCATTTGAAATAATCCAATGAATCAACAAACATGCGAAAAGGGAGAAAGAACAAAATCGAGCAGCAAAAAGAAGAATACGAAACTAAAAAAAAAGAACCGTTATAAAACACATTATATATCGTTGAATATAAAAAAAAAATACCATAACCAAGTTACCATAACCTCCATCATAGCGAAGCCTCCAGGCTAAGCATAATGAAACGCAACATCCCCCTGCAATGGACAGTTCGCAGGGGTCTTTCCGCTAGGGTCGGCCAGCCACCCTTTCCTTAATTCGCAAGTAAGATGGCAGCCTGCCGGTCGGCCATTTAATTTCACCGCCCCTTCAGGATTTCTTATAGGTATATGCGTACAAGTTCTGGAATCGAGGGTGGCGTCGCACGGGGTTACAATCAGGGGACGTGAGAACCGTACAATCATCGTCTCCGCACGACATAGCGAGGAGCCAGGATAATTTTCTCAATTTCGCAGTGTCTCCCGCGGGGTCAGTCGTTAAGGGCTCTAAGTGAGATTCCAGGGGTTGAGGAAGGTTTTGACCGTAAGGGTTAGACCGTAAGATAGTTTGATAGGCTTGGTTGCCAGGAGACCTCTAAGGCCCTTGCTACCTAATGCCGAGAAAGGCTGCCGCGAATACATATGTACTTCGGGCTTATAAGTGATCCTCCCTATGTATCTGTTCATACGGTGCAGCCTATCTATCGGGCAGAGCCGGGAAGCAGCAAATATCGATGCAAATTAAATGATCTCCCTATCCCCTGGAGATGCTACGTTCCTACAATAGACTGTTAATGTTTTACAGAGAATTCTGTCTTCTCTTTGTAAAGCATCTAAGTGTAATATCGGAAAGAGAATCGACATTTCATGAGATGAGAGAATTTAACAAGGGAGATAAAAGTTAAAAATTTATTACTCGTAAAGGGGGCAACAATGGGTGCAGGACCGGGCAAGGTATCGAGCATCGGATGGTCGAAGTGAAACACAATCGAGCGAACTGGAACAATTCGTCGGAAACTTGTTGAACTTTCTTCAACGCGTGCACTGTATTCTCCTCGACGAGAGACTCCCCTCGAAGTCGAATGTACCGAACGAGTATCGAATAGATGCGGCGGACAATGGACGACACGAAGTTGGAATAATTGAAGTAGAGCGATGAAATTAGAAACAGCGGCTGGAGATAACTGAAAGTTGCTATAATGATATACGTAAAAAAAAGAGAGAGAGAGAAATGATCATAATTTCACGCGAAATTAAATTGATTACGGTTTTTAGGAATTAACGAGATCTGAATAGTGGAGGAGCGAGTAAGTAAAGTGTTAACGTCGTTAACGATTCGCTAACGATTCGCCATGGATTTCTTGCATGAACGATTTTAGCGAGCCGGCATTAATGTTGTATAATGTACTGACATGCATACCTGGCAGACAACGAGTATAAGGCTACAGATACTCTCGTGGCCAATGGCTGAACGTGGTAGCCCTGTACAGAACAGTTTTACCGATAAGACCCGGCGTGTTTAACAGCCGCCGGCTAAAGCGCCGCTCCTCCACCCCCGCGCTCTCTTAACCACCACGTTCATTCACCATGGGACGTGGACTGGGTGTTACATTCTATACACGCACAGAACTACTAAAGGAGATTCTATAAAACTGTTCCAGCTATGACGTCAGAAACGACCGACATGGTCGCGGTTTAACGGTGAAAGTTCTCTCGTTGAGGTAGAAAACACCAGATTTCTCGTGCTTTTTCACTGTATTTGTAAAGAGAATGTTCCCGATGAATGTAAAATTTTCTATTGTACGGTAATTAAAATTTAAAAAAATAATTAAAGAGACGTCGTATTTAATTTAACTTTAACTAAGTTTTAATAAGATTTCACAATGAAGAGCAAATAATAAAGAAAGAACAATTAAAAATAAATAAAAATAGAAGAACATCGATATAAAACGAAATAAACGAATCATTCTTAATTGCAAAAACAACGATTGAGAATAATTATCAAAGGGGCATGCGTGCGTGCTTACACATGCACAGCACGCGTACAAATGAAACGAATGTGTGCGAGGAATCCCATTGAAGGCCGGCATAAATCTCGTGGTCGAGTGAAAAAGAAGTTTTCAAGGTTACGCGAGAAAAAGAGAAAAAGGAGGGGGGAAAAGAAGAAAAAAGAAAAGGAAGGATTGAAAGGCGGGGGTTTCCTTCGGCCCAGCGGGATTCGCGTAGCCAGCTCCTGGAGCGCAAGAAACGACCTTAGACCTGGATCAATAGAAGAAGGGGGGTTGGTACTCTCCTAGAGGAGAGGGGCGGGTGTAAGGGGTGAATGAGTAGCGAAGGAGGGGGTAGCAGCCAAGAGGATACTGGCGGCAAGTGGTATGGAAGGGGGTGAAGTGGAAAAATCTTAGGTTTCCCGCACGGTGGCGGAG